AACGAATCAAAGACACATGGATTGCATTTTCTTTGAAATACACATGGGTTTTAAAATGAAGGGGAAACTCACTTGCCAAAATTCTTTATGGGTTATGCTGCATCAAAAAGATTTGGAAAATTACTTTAAATGTTTGGAAGAACCACAGACATCGGGTTCAGCCACCCCTGGATATTAAATTAGTGCCCTTCATCCAATGATAACTGGTCCCCTGTTTTGCAAAGACATTTCTTAAAAATGTCAAGTCCCTTAAACATAAGACCTAACACCCATAAAACCCTAGAAGACAATCTAGGCAAAACCATTCGGGACATAGGCGTAGGCAAGTACTTCATGACTAAAACGCCAAAAGCATTGGCAACAAAAGCCAAAATAGACAAATGGGACCTAATCAAATTCCATAGCTTCTGCACAGCAAAAGAAACAGTCATTAGAATGAATCGGCAACCAACAGAATGGGGAAAAATTTTTGCAGTTTACCCATCTGACAAAGGGCTGATATCCAGAATCTACAAAGAACTAAAACAGATTTACAAGAAAAAAACAAACAAGCCCATTCAAAAGTGGGCGAAGGATATAAAAAGACACTTTACAAAAGAAGGCATACATGAGGCCAACAAACATATGAAAGAATGCTCATCATCACTGGGCATTAGAGAAATACAAATCAAAACTACATTGAGGTACCATCTCACTCCAGTTAGAATGGCGATGATTAAAAAATCTGGACAACAGATGCTGGAGAGGAAGTGGAGAAATAGGAACAAAATTACACTGTTGGTGGGAGTGTAAATTAGTTCAACCATTGTGGAAGACAGTGTGGTAATTCCTCAAGGACCTAGAAATAGAAATTCCATTTGACCCAGCAATCCCATTACTGGGTATGTATCCAAAGGATTATAAATCATTCTATTATAAGGACACATGCACATGAATGTTTATTGCAGCACTGTTGACAATAGCAAAGACCTGGAACCAAGCCAAATGCCTATCGATGATAGACTGGACAGAGAATATGTGGCACATATACACCATGGAATATCATGCAACCATCAAAAAAGGTGAGTTCCTGTCCTTTGTAGCGACATGGATGAACCTGGAAACCATCATTCTCAGCAAACTGACACAAGAACAGAAAATCAAACACTGCATGTTCTTACTCCTAGGTGGGTGTTGAACAATGAGAACACATGGATACAGGGAGGGGAGCATCACACACTGGGGTCTGTCGGGGGGGAAATAGGGGAGGGACAGTGAAGGGTGGGGAGTTTGGGAGAGATAGCATGGGGAGAAATGCCAGATATAGGTGATGGGGAGGAAGGCAGCAAATCACACTGCCATGTGTGTACCTATGCAACAATCTTGCATGTTCTTCACGTGTACCCTAAAACCTAAAATGCAATTTAAAAAAAATGTCAAGTCCCAAACCTGTTACTCCTGAAAACTGACTTTCTTAATGCCTGAATTGCTAATTCAATGACAGAGTCTTATTGTGGAGTCTTCCCCAGAGATTAGGAATCCATTTTCTGTTAGTTAAGCCACCAGAAGTACATTTCAATTTTACCCAATTTTTCAAATGTGATTAAAGATGTCCTTTCTGTCCTGTAGGTAAAAATTAATGTTTCTAGGAGGCCAAAAGGAAATTGAGTTTTCAAGTTGAATGAAGAAACTAAATAAACAGAAGATAAAAGTGGAAAACTTGTTTGTTGTAAATGTATTCAGGCAGGATTTCTGACATCATACATCTGTTAGCATACTTATTTAAGAACAAGAACAGGAAGAAAGGAAGGAAGGGAAAAAGGAAAGAGGGGAGGGAGGGAGGAAAGAAGGAAGGAAAGGACAAAGAATGAAAAAAATAACTAGGTGATAAAGTGTCTTTGGAACCAACAAAAGATTGAGTGAAGTGCCAAACATAAATTATGTTTAACAGAAATAGGCAGTTTTATGAAAATAGCTGGGCAGCAATAAGAACAAAATACCAATTACAACAAATTCAAACAGACCAATGCAGAGGAAGGTGACAGGGTGACGTGAGTGAAAAATGTGTTGGCACAAGTGATGAACAAGGCATCAGAAGGAACTAGAGGAGGGGTGCTATACTGTTAAAAGAAATTAATTAAATGTTGAAATCATGAACAAAGAAAAATTACAGGACGATATCTAAACTGAGAGAAAGTCTACAAATGCACTCAGTAACTGAGCTGAGGGGAGTATAAGAAGAGATCATCTAAAACAAGTGAAGTGCTGTTATTTAAATCTGTGCAGTCAAACAGCTTATATTAAAAAGGCTAGTTCAGATTTTGCATGCAGTTATGATGTGAGAGCAAACAGCTTTCAAAATTGTTTAATGACCTCCCTAACAGGATTATCACACAGTTCACTGGAGGATGGACAGCAATTCTCAGCATGTCCCTCACTCAACATGTAATTCCAGTATTCTCTGTAATTCTCCCTGCCTGTAAAGACAGGGAGGTGCAAAATCATTGTGCTACTCAAAAGCATTAGTTGAAAAGTCAGGATGCTTTTAATGAGGGAAGCTCAACATAAAAGGGAAATAAGGAAGGGAATAAAATGGATACTATAACTTGAGCTCTTTTAGCATGATTCTGCCCAGCTAACTATGGAGGTGTCTGGGAAGGCTGAACCCTCTAGAAATTTTAGTTTGCTCTGGTCTCCTCAGATCTGCCTGGGCTGCCTGCATCCTAGGTAGCTAGTGTGACATTCTTTGCTTCTGACATGTTACTGCTCCTCTGTTCTGCTCTCCAACCATTTCTTGTTAAAGTGGGGAAGTATTCTCCACCTCCTCTTCTGTTATGCAGTCTACAAACCAGTATAGCTTTGCATTGTCAGTGTGCTTGGACACTCTAATGAGAAGGATCTGTATGATAGGTTGTCCTCTGCTAGTTGTGGCATTAGTACCACCTGGGTGTGGGAGAGTGGTGATGGGAAAGGGAAGAAATCTGTCCAGAAAATACTCTGAGCAATGCTCATCAGTTGTGGAAGAACAAATCATACTTTTTCTCCTGGAACCATTTATTATTTTTGCCCTAGACTTAGATTCTCTGACTCCTGAGAAATTGCATTAATCAGCATAATTAGTGTCAAGTTCTATAACAAAACAACCTTAAAATCTTAATGACTTCACCACTAAAGGTTTTTCTTTTGGCAGCTTTCCATTCTATGATTCTGGAATCCCAATTCTTCCATCTTGTGGTAGAATTATTTTCTAGGGCCTCTGCCGATTTTCCTGCTGTATCATCTGTATTTAGCTGACTGGCTAACAATGAGTGAGGAAGATCACATGACACATTTTGTGGCCATGACTGAATGTAGTGAACATGACTTACATGACAGGACCCCAGTCTCAACTGCAAAGGATGCTGGGAAATGTAGTTTTTCTAAGTGCTCAGGAAGAAAAAGCGTGATTGATGAATATTGAGCTAGTCTCTGCCATATTCACAAAGGGTGTTTCCGTCCCTAATGTAAATTATCCCTCAGTGGATCTGTCTTCCCAGCCTTTTTTATATGTTCAGATATGTCTGAATTTATGAACATTAATGTGGAAACTGAGAAAGATTAAGGTATACATAGTTAATAAGTGACAGACCTGAAATGTAATTCAGATTCGCCTGAATCTCAAGTTATGTCCTGCCTTCAAATTTTATACTTTGGGAAGTGGCATGAGGAAGAACATCAGATTGGGAGGGACTTGACTCCTTTGCACCCCTGGGGTCCTCTGAGATATCAGACCTTCAGTGGCATCAAAGGTTTGGTTCAGTAGTACTTTAATTAAGGGAAGTTAAGGGTACTTCTGAGGTTACAGAGCAAACTGAGATTGATATTGTCTTACAGTGGCAAGAAAGTGAAACTCACCGGGAAATAGTTAACACCTCCTCCTCCAAGTTGGATACAGGAAGATGGACATGTTAAATGGCCTCAGAAAATATGTACACCTCTTTTTCACCTTTCTTCAAAAGGCTGAGGGAAAAGTTAAGAGAATGCCACTGAGAAGAAAAGACAAGATTGGGCTTGAATTTTAGCATCATGCTCACACTGTAGCTTTTCTTTTTTGGCAAGTGCGTGGGTATTGATGTATTTTTACCTCTCAGAGCCTCAGTTTTCCTGTCAGTAAAATGGAGATAGTGAAATGCAAAGTAATCAGAATTAAATAATTTATACTAGTACTATGCCTAAAAATCAAAGGGATTGCAACTAAAGATTTATCCATTTTTTTTTAATTAACACTTTTTCTTTCATACATGTGCCATCAAGGGGAGGCATGATGGTGGAAGGACAATTCTCCTGGATGATATGGAAGATCCAAGAGACAAAATGTAAATAAATAAATAAATAAATAATCAATGTCTTCATTTATCCATCCACTTATTTAGTAATTCATTCATTCTTTCACATATCTACCAATATATACTCACTACTGAGAAAACATCACGGTGGACATTAGAGAAATCTGAAAAAGATTACACGGCCCCTGCTCTCAAGATCTGTGTTCTCTAGTGGAGGAGCAGTCATATGTATAAGTCAAGGTAATTACAAGGTGAAATATGATAAATGACATATTTAAATTAAGGTTTGTGGTAGTACAGAAGAGGGAGACTAGAGCAGGGAATCTGCAAAGTTTAAGAGAAGTGGGAGCATTTATGTTGGAACTTGAAGAGTGGTAGTTCTGGGATTTTCTATTACAGGAGAAATTTCAGAGCAATAATCTAACTGGCAGGAGACAAGAGTAAGTCTTTTGAAGCTAGGCCTGCATAGCATGAACACCAGTTTTCTTAGAGTGTTTATTACAGATCAATAAAAATGACTCAAGTTTTAAAGATGCTTTTATTCAGAGTCATAAAATTATAAAAATAAAAAAAATTATAAAGCATTTCTTCTTTATACATATTTACCAAAATGTTAATAATGTATACTATTTTAGTTAGTTTTCTTGAGGGCCTGTATTCTTTGGCTGCCATAACAAAATACTGTAGGCTGGGTGGTTTAAATTACGGAAATTAATTTTCTCACAGTTGTAGAGAATAGAAGTCTGAGGTCAGGTGCCAGCCTGGTCAGGTTCTGGTGAGGGATCCGTTCCTGGCTTGCAGATGGCCACCTTCTCACTGTGTTCTCACATGGCAGACAGAAGACTCTGGTGTCTCTTTGCCTTCTCATACCTCATTCAACCTTAATCATCTCCCTAAAGGCCCTATCTCCAAATATAGTTACACAGCAAGTTACGCTTTCAACATATGAATGTGGGGTGAATTGGGAAAAATTCAGTCCATATCAGGGGCTGATGGAATTCACCCCTTGGTGATTTCTCTGCCTTGGAAACATAGGTATAATTCTATTTGAGGACAGATCAGAGAGGTAATAGGAGCAGAATGATTTGCTTTACCCAGTAAGTTCTCAGAGTTGTCACAAAAAGCTCAAATGAACAATGTCATTATGATTCATATACCAGTAAGGCAATATTTATTTGAAATAGTAAACTAACTGACCTAGTCTTGCCTTTTGGAGAAACTTTTAAAGACTTTCATAAGACTATATATAGATTTCAGAATTTTCATTGCTAGTTTGTTAGGAAATCCACACAAATTTTTACAGATTAGCTAACATTTTTACAGCTGTGTTGGATTTTATTTTTTCTTGCAGGTAATAGGCATTTTTCATTCTATATAATTTAATCATGATTTATGTCATGTTCTCCAAAACAAACATATATGGCTAGTAGCAATAAAAATAATCACCCTTAGTTGACTAAGGAGTGTGGGGACATTTAAAGGTTTGCAAGAAGCTGAGAGTTGATTTCAAAGAGATGCCATCTTTCAAAAGTGACTACCTATTTGAAAAATAGTTGCCAATAAAAAATAAGAGGTTCTGATTCTTTTCATGTTTAGTTCATCTATCATGACTATAATTCTGCTTCATAATTCATATTCAATTCTCACTTTACTTGTTTTGTATTTAATACAGCTACATTGTGCTATAAAAAGAGAATTTGGACAGAATATACTCTGGTGTTAAACTGTTTGTTTTTGTATCCCCTCAGTCAGAAGCATCCCTGGGGAAGTCTTGGCCCTGGGGAAATCACATGGTGTGCTCTTTTTCCTCTACTTTGGCATTTTCGTGCAACAGAAAGTATGTTCAACTGAACAGCAATACTCTGGAAAGGTAAAAGAAATCACAGATGGGCCAAGTGCAGTTTAGAAGTTGTGTGTGGAAGGAGGAACAGGGACAAAACAGCGTTTAGCCCATAAAGGACTTTGTTAGAATTAGAAAAAAACATACCACTTCTCCTGTGTGGACACAGCCAACCTCATGCCAGGGTATATGGTTTGGCAAACAGAGTGAAGGCTGGAATTCAGCTTTCATTTACCCCTTCAGGTGGGCAACTGTCTGCAGTGGTTTGGGTCAGAGCCAAGTTGAAGAATAAATGAACAGAATGGCTCTTTACAGTACCCACTATTATATCTTGCACATAATAAGTAGCTGGAAGATGATGAGTATGAGTGAATAATTTAATCGTAATTATATTTGAACAGTACTCAATTCTTTATAGAAGACGATATTCCAGAATGAGCTTACAAGTCTAGATTCCAAAACTTTTCTGCTAATATGAAGAAAAGTGTTTATGAGCAATGTGGTCAATTTGTAAAATTTTCCTCCTGAATAAGATGAAGGATAGTCTCAGAAAAAAATAAACAAGAATTTGTGTTATTTAGTCTGTTTTCTAACCTGTCAGGTAAATTTGAATATGGGATTATCTATATTTTTGTGTAAAATAAAATGATATTTTCTCTTTCTCAAGTCAGTTCAACACACTTTTATGTAACCTCTCCTGAGAGGAGAGTGCTGTGCAAAGCCAGATGCTGAGATGATGAGTGATGAGTCCTTTTGCCTTAGGGTGTTCCTTTACAACTGGGAGAGACTGAAATGTATGCTCAGGGGACAACACAATGGTTCCCTCTTCAGGTCCAAGACAAGCTACATAATTTTTAGTGTTCCAGTGCAAAATGATCTGGCGGATCCTGGCATGATACAGAAGTCAGCCTCCCCTTCCCACTGGCTGCTGTCCCTATCCTTGATGCAAAGGTAAACCGCAAGGGAATCACAACCTCTGGTCTGGGCCATGCTCAGTTCCTGGATCTAGGGTAGGCAAGAAGTACTTTTCCAATCCCTGAACAAAGTCCAGGGCTCTGTCAGCCCAAGGGAGAGACAGACATCCATCTACTCACCCTGAAATGCCACAGGCACCAGCATCTCACTCACACACAGGTCCCATTCCAAGGGAATCATAACAGATACAATTTTTGACATTGGCCTTAAAGACTTTCATTTCAACAGTTCTAGAACAACAACAACAAAAAGGCTATATAGGCAGAGATTGCTTCCTGAAGGAAAAGTATAAATGTGAAAATTCAGTCTTGTGTAAGGATTGCTGGTCAACAGAGGGCTCCACTGATTCTGGGATAGCTGGAGATTAAGTACAGGATGATATTTCTTCATTCAGTAATCATTTATTAAGTGCTGACTAGGTCTCAGGCCTTGTGCTAAGTGTTGCTGCTATAATATTAAGCAAAATCAGATGTATTCTTTACTTTCATGAGACTTATAAGCTCATGGAAAAATCAGGGTCATGTTGAGGAGGTTCTAGAATGTCCTTTACATTCAGGGTTTCTCTTTTGACCTGAGAGTCCCTCATGTTGGAAACATTTGTCTTATTTCAAATGTTGTAGAAGTTGCCAAATGTTTGAAAAGATAAGAGCCAGTTTTCTAAAAATCTCTGTAAAGTTTAAAAGTCAGACTTTGTAGCACGGTGGGGGGCTAGAGAAGGGATAGCATTAGGAGAAATATCTAAGGTAGGTGATGGGTTGATGAGTGCAGCAAACCACCATGGCACATGTATACCTATGTAACAATCCTGCACGTTCTGCATGTGTGTTCCAGAACTTAAAGTATAATTTAAAAAAGAAAAGAATTGAAATCTGAATAGTTACACAATCAAGTTTGCAGTTCAGAAGGTTACTCTCAATGCACTGTGGAGACTGTACTAGAACCTGGTCTTGGGATGGAATTTCAGGGAACAATGCTGGATCATAAATTCTCTATGGATGGTAACAGAACCTTTGTCTTTGACATTAAATTCTTAGCTAAAAAACTCAGTTCAAATATTCAGCCACTTCAGAAGTCAAGTGACACTTCCTTCTTTTAGCTATGATATTTAAATAGCTCTCATTTCTTGGAAAAAAGTGACTTTTATTCTTGTGGATGTCATACATCATGGATGATACCCATGCTCTGGATCTCGTCAAAACCTGAGTGGCCCCAAATGAGTGAGCTGGTGGCCTGGTGAGAAATCCAGCATTATCTACTTCTTCTTAACATTCTTAAGTTTCAGTTTTATGAGGTGCCACATTTTGCTATGCTTTTAGCTGGACCTTCTTGAAATTTCTTAATCTGAGGTTTTTTTATTTTGGGGAAACAAAGAATAAAGGGAAAAGATTAAATTAATCTGAAAACTTTAGGAGGAAGATAGAATAGGAATGTTTGTATTAAATGTTCTAATGACACATTTTTGCATTTTCAAGTCTTGGGATTCTGTTATTCCACAGAAGAGTTCAAGAAAATGAATGTAAGATTAGTGCACAATTATTGTCTAAAAATACTAAGTTTCAAGTGTCAGGCACTACAGCCTCAACAATCCTTCGTCTCTGGAATTATAAACATAGATTTCTATGATTTGGGAAGCCTATTGAAAATTGACCCAAATGAAAAAGGGGAAATGTTTTGTAGACTCCGCTTTTGTGATAATACTGTTGCAAAGGGATCAAAGTGCTTTCAAATACAATTTATTGCTGTTGTTTTTACTAAATCAAATAAAGGCTTTAAGCAAAAGCAGATTTCAAGCCTTCTGCTTATGACTGCACTTTGTGAGACTTGACAATGCTGATTTCTGTGTAATTTGAAAAATCATGTTTGGTAACAAGAAAAGGCATTTCTCCCAATTTTTCAAAGTTACCTCTAATAAAATCTGCTCATTGATGTCCATACTTACAGATATAGTACAAAGGAAGTTCAGCAAAGTCACTCAGCTGCACCCAATTGATCCTTGCTAAAAGTTGCAGAAATTGTATGGAAACTTACTCAGGGTTTGAGGGCATTTAAATCATGGCCTGATTTAATTTTATATTCACTAAAAGTGAAGCTAAAACAGAATGCATGGATCATGTCCTCATAAACTTCAAGTGGCAGCCCATAGACAGCTGTCTGTTTTTTGAGTTAGATTGACAAGAACTGGAAAGAAAATATTAGCAAAAGGAATCTTGTATGCTATCAGCTGAAATCTACCTAAATCTCCCAGCAAAATATGATCTGAAAGAAATAAGAGATTCACCTCTTGGTTCTAGTCATTGAGAAATTAAAGGTTAGGTTAAGAAATATCCATCCCACTATTTGTTAAATTACCCAAATATGGCTATAAAAAATAATGTTAAGTATTCAGGCCAGAGGTATTTATCAGAAGGATATTATTTATCCTGCTATGTACCTTATGGCAAGTCTCACAGAAAATTATAGGTACAAATATGCATAAATCATATTTATATACTTTCTATAAAGTTAGGCTGGCATTAATTAAATGGAACAAAAGGCACAAAGTTCTGATTATAACTTGCTTCCCAAAAGAAGGAGCCATCTACAGCTTAGAAGACAGATAAGAAATTAATCATCACAGATTTGCTGTGAATAGCTCTGCTCAGCTCTGTCGCTGCCAGACTCGAGGCCACACACAAAATGCCTAAAGAAGATTCTCAGAGAGATCACTTCCTTCTTTCTTCAGATTTTACAAGGGCAGAGTGTGGTCTTATCTTTGAAAAGCTTGAAACCTCTCTGTAGAGCTGGGAAGTGTTCTCAATAGCAAAGTTGTCACCCTCCTCATCATTACACTTACAATGTACTGAGCACTCACTATGTGCTAGGCACAAAGTGCTTTGCATTATCTCATTTTCTCTTCACGTTTATCCCATGAAGCAAATGCTGTAATTGTCCACATTTCATGAAAGGAGAAACTGACACCAAAACTTGCCCATTGTTACAGAGATGGTGACAGTTGGTACCTGAATTCAGACAACCACATTCTTCTCGAATCTTCACTTGCAACCATTAGAGTAGCTTAATCAGCTGCAAACAGCCCATAGATTTGATTTTTTTCAGACAGAGTGTCACTCTATCACCAGGCTGGAGTGCAGTGGTGTGATCCCAGCTCACTGCAGCTTGCATTTTCTGGTTTCAAGCAATTCTCCTGCCTCAGCCTCCCAAGTAGCTGGGACTACAGGCACGCACCACCACGCCAAGCGAATTTTTTGTATTTTTAGTAGAGACAGGGTTTCACCATGTTGGCCAAGTGGTCTCAATCTCTTGACCTCGTAATCCACCCACCTCAGCCCCCCAAAGTGCCGGGGTTACAGGCATGAGCCACCGCACCCAGCCAGATTTGACTTTTTAAAATCCACTTCCACTTAGAAAGCTCTTCCCATTCATTTCTTAATTATATAATACACATACATCCCCCCACACACAAACACCCACATACATATACTTACCCTCTAAAGAGTGCAAGGAACTGGATCAAGCACTGGGAAGTAAGCAATAAACAATACACATTCTCTACCCATGTGGAGCATACATTCTATAGTATATTCCACATACCATAGCCTCATTTTTTTCTCACTAATTCTATGTTCTTTAGTGCTCCTATTACCTGATAGTTTCCAGGATGGTTTTCAGTAGCTGGGCAAAATGCTGGCACTGCTACAATTTCTATGAAGTTGGGAAATAACAACTTGGCCCCTCCCTCCTGATGTCTGCCTCTCTTCTCAGTTTCTTGGTCTTCATGTCTATCATCATTCAGGTACCCCCTGTCTTCTGGTTGTCCATAGTCACCCACTACTATATCCCTCTTCCTCACCCATGCCAAACCAGACCTACCCTCAACTCTGCTGCCTCATGTGTCTCTAGTTTTGTCCTTAATTCCTTCCACATCCAAGCCTCAGGGTGAATCTGAGCTCCGATTCTTCACCTTGGTAAGCAGGCCTGACTTGTGGGAAATGACCAATGAGAAACTCTTACAAGTTACACCAGGAAATATCTGCTTCTAGTAAGTCACAAATTGTATTTTCTCAGAATTTCTTTGGTGGGTTTTCTTTTAGAATCATTCTCCCATGTGGTAGTCATATTCTACAGAAATTATTGCAGGTACATATGGACTAAATATGTTCCTGTGGCTGGTGAGTGATGTTAAGCAGTGGGAAACATGCTTTGAATTCCAAGTAACCAAACTACAAGTGACCTTCTGGCAAAGTTGTCCTCAGTAACATATTCCTGTCTTCACTATTACTAACAATAAACAGTGGAAAGGAGTAAAAAATAAGTTAAAAATATATTAGACTTTAGCATTAGAGTGATAGGAACACGTAGTAATAAATGCAATGTAGAAAAATAAATAATTTAAATTAAGGGATGGCAGTGGTGGACATTGCCCACATTTGGCAACTTCTACAACATTTGAAATAAGACAAATGTTTCCAACATGAGGGATTCTCAGGTCAAAAGAGAAACTCTGAATGTAAAGGACATTCTAGAACCTCCTCAACATGACCCTGATTTTTCCATGAGCTTATAAGGTTTCAGGGAGCAGTAAAAAGAACAAGTAAACATGTTCCCCAGAAATTACCAATGAAGCCCTGAGTCCAACAGGATTCATCGAATACATAAACTTATCCTCTCCTGGTCAAGATACTTTAGATTGGAAGTAGTTGAAATATGGGAGGAAGCTCATGTTTTTGTGGTGTGAATTAGATTTTGTGTATATCTGTGTACCTAGTGCATTTTAAACTATTGTAAAAATCCCTATTCTTAGACTCCTCTAAGAGTAACTCACTTGTAAACAAGATGAGCAATTCCGTCTTGTGGTTACTATGCCTTCCCCCAAGTCATCTGCTCATTCTTTCTTCTTCAAACAAATTAAAATATTCATCCACTGGAGAGGGACTGTCATCTATATATAATATATGTCCTTTTATATATCACATAAAATGCTTAAAACTGACTTTACCTGTGAGTGCCAACAGCAGTGGTGATGTGGTTATCATGACACTTGCAAATGCCTCTCTTCCTGTGTACTTATCCCTAAGCAATGGCCCGCGCAGGCTGCAGGGATGGATAAAAGCCATCAGGCCGCGGTAGCGTGTGAGGAGAAAGAGGGTGCCCCAGGGCCACAGGAGTACAACAAGATTGGATGAGCTAGTGTGGCAGATGCTGCTGGCGCTGCTCTGCCTGCACCGCAGGCTCAGCTCACCTCTCAGCTTTGCTCTCGGTTCCACACCAGCAACTGGATCTGGTGGTGCAGCTGCTGGGCCACCTCTGCTGCAGTTCTAGTGCCACTCAGCTTTAAGCTCCACAAGCCCCTGGCAATAGGCAGGAACTGCCTTCAACATTGCCACCCGCATAGGGGGTCATGCCTGGCCGCCACCCATCACCCACTGCCTGGCTCAGGGGGAGACATTTCCTGGAGAAGCTGCCTGTGCACATGGGCCTGGTGATCACTGAGGTGGGGCAGGAGCCCAGCTTCTGCAACATCGCCAGCCTTGTTGTGTGGTGTATGGTCATGGGCCAAGATTATTTGAGCCCAGGAGTACAAAACTAGCCTGGATAACTTAGTGAGACCCGTCTCTATTAGTGTAAATTTTTATTTAAAAAAAAAGGAAAAAAATGAAACGTGTTACTTTTTTTTTTTAAGTTCCTGAACCATAGTAGATAGGTGACAGTTACAAATTTAACTCCTTACTACACATGATGGTGACCACAGTTAGTAATATTATATACTTGAAAATTGATAAGAGAGTACATTTTAAGTGTTCTTACCACACACCAAAAATTAATGGCTGGGTGCAGTGGCTCACGCCTGTAATCCCAGCACTTTGGGATGCCAAGGCAGACAGATCACCTGAGGTCAGGAGTTCAAGACCAGCCTGACCAACATGGTGAAACCTCTTCTCTACTAAAAATACAAAAATTAGCTTGGTATGGTGGTGGGCACCTGTAATTCGAGCTACTCAGGAGGCTGAGGCAGGAGGATGGTTTGAACCTGGCAGGCTGAGGTTGCAGTGAGTCAAGATTGCACTATTGCACTCCAGCCTGGGCAACAGAACAAAACTCCATCTCAAAAACAAATTAAAAAAAAAAAGACAACTCAAATACATGTACACACGTGTTCACAGCAGCAGTGTTCATAGTAGGCAAAGGTGGAAACAACCCAAATGTCCATGGATTGATGAACAAATAAACAAATTGTGGTCTCTCCATGCAGTAGAACATTAGTCAGCTGTTTTAAAAAAAAGTACTGGGCCGGGCGCGGTGGCTCATTCCTGTAATCCCAGCACTTTGGGAGGCCGAGGCGGGTGGATCACGAGGTCAAGAGATCGAGACCATCCTGGTCAACATGGTGAAACCCCATCTCTACTAAAAATGCAAAAAATCAGCTGGGCATGGTGGCGCATGCCTGTAGTCCCAGCTACTTGGGAGGCTGAGGCAGGAGAATTGCCTGAACCCAGGACGCGGAGGTTGCGGTGAGCCGAGATCGCACCATTGCACTCCAGCCTGGGTAACAAGAGTGAAACTCCGTCTCAAAAAAAAAAAAAAAAAAGTACTGATGCATCATACATGCCTGGATGACCCTTGGGAACATTATTATGCTGAGCGGAAAAAAATCCTGACACAAGTCACATACTGTATGATTCTTGGCCAGGTGCTGTGGCTCATGTCTGTAATCTCAGACTTTGGGACGCCAAGAAGGGTGGATCACTTGAGGTCAGATTGGTCTCAAACTCCTGACCTCAGGTGATCCACCCACCTTGGTCTCCCAAAGTACAGGGATTACAGGCATGAGCCACCTTACCCAGCCAAATTATTCATTTTTAAATGGTTAACTATGTTATGTGAATCTCATATCAATAAAAAAATAAATAAAAGGAATAAATTCTTCAAAACAAAAAGTCAAGTAGAGAATGCATGACAACCAGGCAGAGGAGAGATTTTAGAGAAGAGATTTTTAAATTTGGAAGCAGATTCAACCAGGCGAAGTGGCTTACACCTGTAATCCTTGCACTTTGGGAGGGTGAGGCAGGAAGATCACTTGAGTCCAGGAGTTTGAAAACAGCCTAATCAACATAGCAAGACTTCACTGCTATGAAAAAAAAAAAAAAACTTCTTGAAAATGTAGATCAGTGTGGTAGCTCATACCTGTATGCCCAGCTGCTCAGGAGGCTGAGGCACAAGAATCACATTAAAAGTTTGAAGCTACTGTGAGCTATGGTTGTGCTGCTGCACTCCAATCTGGGTAACAGAAGAAGACCCTGTCTCTAAAAATAAAACATAAATAAGGAGTCACTTTGGACTAAAGTTCTTCCAAACTGTAATATTTTTTATTGTACAGGCTCAGATCTTAGTGTTCAATTCTGACAACTTGATGAATCACAGCCTTCTTAGATCTATCACCTAACTACACAAAAGAGAACAAAATTACATTTTGGCTATAAATCTTTAAAAAATGTGTTCAAGAAATATTCAGCCTCTGCTAGGGTGTGTGTGTGTGTGTGTGTGTGTGTGTCAGAGTCTCACTCTGTCACCTAGCCTAGAATGCAGTGGTGGGGTCTTAGCTCACTGCAGCCTCCACCTCCTGGGTTTGAGGAATTCTTTTGCCTCATCCTCCCAAGTAGCTGGGATTACAGGTGCCAGCCACCATGTCCAGCTAGTTTTTGTATTTTTAGTAGAGATGGAGTTTCACCATGTTGGCCATGCTGGTCTCTAACTATTGACTTCAAGTGATCAGCCCGCCTAAGCCTCCAAAAATGTTGCGATTACAGACATGAGGCACTGCACCCAGCCCTAAATTTTTGTTGTTTATTTTTTTTGAGTCAGGGTCTTACCCTGGTGCCCAGGCTAGAGTGCCATGTGCAATCACAGCTCACTGCAGCCTCGACTTCCCAGACCTAAGTGATCCTCCCACCCCAGTCTTTCAAGTAGCTGGGACCACAGCTGCATGCCACCACACTCAGCTAGTTTTTGTATTTTTTGTGGAGACAGACTCATTTTATGTTGCCCAAGCTGGTCTTGAACTCCTAGGCTCAAACGACCCACCTGCCTGGGCCTCCCAAAGTACTGAGATTACAGGTGTGAACCGTCCACCTGGCTACTTTTCTTTCTTCAGACCTGACCTTGATCTCAGACAGCCCAAGGGATTTGCCATGACTGGAAGGGAGGAGAGAGGGAAGGTAGGGTTGCTACCCAAGAAGAACAAAGAAAAATTTTAAAAAATCAATATTCAGGTTTTGGCATTCAAAATGAGATTTAAAAACAGTTTGACATATACTTTACACACCCTGCAATTCAACCATTGAAAGTGTGTAACTTGGGCAGGTGCGTTGGTTCATGCCTGTAATCCAGCACTTTGGAGGCCAAGGAGAGTGGATAATGAGGTCAGGAGTTCAAGATCAGCCTGGCCAAGATGGTAAAATTGTGTCTCTACTAAAAAAATTACCTCGGCCTGGTGGCAGGTGCCTGTAATCCCAGCTACTCAGGAGGCTGAGGCAGAAAGATGCTTCAACCGGTGAGGCAGAGGCTGCAGTGAGCTGAGATTGCACCACTGCGCTCCAGCCTGGGGACAGAGCATGACTCTGTACCAAGGAAAAAAAAATATAACTGAATGGTTTTTAATATATTACATTATGAATTTTTTAGATTGTGGTAAATTGTATATAACAAACTTTTCTGTTTTGACCTTTTTTTCTTCCCCAGTAGAGATGAGGGTCTTGCTTTTTTACCCCAGTTGTTCTGGAACTCCCACCTCAAGCGATCCTCTTCCTTTGATCTTCCAAAGTGTTGGGATTATGAGTGTCAGTGACGGCACCTGGACCACTTTAACAACTCAGTGACATTAATTGCATTTACACTATTGGTGCCACCCCAAATAGGATTTTCTAGAGGGAAAAATAACTGCTTAATATCCCAGCATGATCAAGCAACAAAGAATTTTTTAAATTCCTTTATCTTTCATTTGTTGTATCAAGGACCCTAAAGGCCATAGTTTCTGCTACCACATACAGAAGAAACTACTCTCTGACATTAAGACTTAGCCCTGTCCAGTCTTCCCATGGAGGTGGTGGCTGTGCTGGTGATGGGGTATGAGTGTGGGTTTGGGTGTGATGTGGAGTGATGGTGGTGAGCATAGTGGGGAGGATTGTGGCTGCAGGGATGCTGGAGGTGTCGATTGTGGCTGTGGTGGGAGCTCTGTCTGTGTCCAGGTGGCATGGAGCTCACTGGGAGGGGTTGGTATTAACAGCCATGCCCCATCCCCTGGCCAGCTCTTGTCTCAGTCTAGTCCTGCTCCCATTCTGTCCGCTGGGTGGGGATTTGGAGGAGAGCAGGTCAGAATAGAACAGTCACCTCCCGCAGCACTTTTTCCCTGTGGAATACTGATCAGAGATCTGTACCAGGCACGGTGCAAATGGAGATGGGTGTGCCTGGGTAGAGCTGTCCTTTCCAGGTCCTCAGGGTGTTCCTCTAATACCCATGTCCCTCCCCAGCCTCTGACACAGAAGGGCCACAGCAGCCCTAAGAGGCTTAGAGAGCTGCCAGGGGACAGGTAGGCAGGAGGCTGGCACCCCTGGAATGGCTCAAGTTTCAGACCTAGCCCCCACCCCACCTGCTGGGGTCCTGGGGAGTTTCCAAAGCCTGCGCACCAGGCTCCTGGTGTCTGTGTGACCCTGTTGTGATTTTGTCCCAGGGTCTCCAGAGCCTCCACTGTTGGGAAGATAATGGCGGGAACCCTTTAGTAGGAAATCAGACCTGGAGAGGGCCTTGGCCAGACTCTCATTCTTCCTGTAGCCCCCCGGCCCCACCCAGCTCTTTCTACCTGGATACTCCTTCCCCCAGCTGCTTCCCCTCCCAGTTGGAGATATTTTCCAAGGAGAGAAAAGCAGTCCTCCATGACCCACGCCCCTCCACAAGGTCTGCAGCCCCAGCCGTACACACCTCCCAGCACAGCTCTTCTTCCTCCCAGTTCACCACAGCTCATCTCACTGGAAACCTGGCATTCTCCGCTGTTTCCTGGCTTTTCTGGGGAAACTGTGAAGGGGCCAGGCTGGCCAGGTGGGGGTGGGGATGGATGGCTTTTCAAGGCCAGGGAGGGAGGCTCGAGCCTTCAGCAACTTTTACTTGGAGTCCTGGTTTCATTGGCCCTTCCATGGGCCACCCACAAGCCCTTCCATGGGTCAGCCATCTAGTAGTCCATGACCCCATCTCCAGGCCAGCCAACCCACTCTAGCACCCCCAATCTGCTTCCCTTGCCTGTGCCCCCAGGATGACCATGTCTC